TATGGTCTCTTTAGTTTCTTTTGCATTTATTTCTGCCCTAATTTTTAAGATTTCTTTCCTTCTACTAACCCTGGGGTTCTTCATTTCTTCCTTCTCTAGTTGCTTTAGGTGTAGAGTTAGGTTATTTATTTGACTTTTTTCTTGTTTCTTGAGGTGAGCCTGTATTGATATGAACCTTCCCCTTAGCACTGCTTTTTCAGTGTCCCATAGGTTTTGGGTTGTTGTGTTTTCATTTTAATTCGTTTCTATGCATATTTTGATTTCTTTTTTGATTTCTTCTATGATTTGTTGGTTATTCAGAAGCGTGCCTCCTGCCTGTGTCAGGGATGGGCTGGTCCGCCGCTGGCTAGCCCTTCTCTGGAATTGCCCAGTCCCTTTGTTCTGCGAATGGCCAGGAGTGTGTTCAGGCCGCTCAATTTTCTCTTTCTCTCTTGCTATCCCACAGTTTAAGTTGCTGTCTCACCTTAGCTCCCTCTGATTGCCCTCAGGGCATTCAGGCTCAGCCCTTACCCTAAGCAGTGCCGCCCGCTCCTCTCCATTCCGCCCCCACTTGCTGGTGGCGGATGCGGGCGTCTGGGGTACTTTTCTGCTGGGAGTTGCATTTAGGCATGTAATCTGTGGGTTTTATTTATTTTTCCTCCCAGTTAGGTTGCCCTCTGAGATTCGAAACCTTCCCCTAGACCCTCCCGTGAGAGGGTTTCCTGGTGTTTGTGGAAACTTCCTCTATTACGACTCCCCTCCTGGAACTGGTCTCCATCCCTAGCTCTTTTGTCTCTCTTTTTATCTTGTGTATTTTGTCCTACCTCCTTTTGAAGACGATGGGCTGCTTTTCTGGGTGCCTGATGTCTTCTGCTAGCAGTCAGAGGTTGTTTTGTGCGGTTTGCTCAGCGTTCAGATGTTCCTCCGATGAGTTAGTTTGTGGGGGAGAAGGCGGTCTCCCCGTCCTGTTCCTCCGCCGTCTTGGCCCCTCCCCCATGATCCTTCTTCTTGATCGTTTTGATACCAGTAGATAATTTTTCAGCTGCAAGATTGTAGTGTTGCTGGGTCCCTAATCCATTTATTTTTGTTTCAGTTTATTTGTTTTCTTACAGACTAAAAGAGACGAAGAACACAAAGTCATAAAATCAAAGGTTGTGAATGATGAGGAAGTAGTTCGAGTTCCTTTAGCTTTTGCCATGGTTAAACTAATGCAGTCCCTTCCAAGAGAAGTTATGGAAACTAATCTGCCAAGGTATGTTACGAGACAAGTCAGAAATTGGTTCTTCTTTGCTAGAAAGAGAAGCACTGTCACAGTTTGCTATAATTTAGAATCCTAACTGGAATAATTTGGATTATGAATAATTAAGAAACAAAAGGATATTTGTATTTTTATTTGTTTCTGCTAATTAGATTTTCAACTCATGTTCTAGTATTTTGCTGAAAGTGTGTGCCCTCCTCAAGAACAGAGCACAGGAAATCAGAGACATTGCACGCAGCACCCTCGCAAAAATAATAGAGGATCTGGGTGTGCATTATCTACAATATATTTTAAAAGAATTACAGACTACACTTGTGCGTGGCTATCAGGTAAATGGCATCATGCATTTTATATTCAAATTGGGTTGGAATTCACATAGTTGCACTTTAAACACTAAGTCATGGTACTTTGGGTCTGTCTTTTGCAAAGTTGATCTCCTAAGAGTGCAGGCAAGAATATTTTAAAATTTCTAATCCATATTTTTAAAAAATCTAATTTTTAAAAAGCCTTATTTTTTGGAAGAATCTTATAGACCTACATTTCATAACCTGTGATTTTCTCTCAAATCACTTGATATCAGGTTTTGTATTCCCTGAGTTCTTAATAAAATTCTTGTTGAATGTATCACCACAAATGTGAACAATAAAAATTTGTTTTGAGTTGAAACATATAGGTTGTAAAGTTACTAAGAGCACCAGGTGGAATGCAGAGCTCTTTGAGTAGTTTCCTGGCTGTTGTGCTGCTCCCAAATGTGGGCCTTGGACACATGCCATCAGCAGCACCTGGAAACTTGTTAGGAGAGCTATTAGGACCTTAGCCCTGACCTACACAATCTGCATTTTTAAAGATCCCCAAGTGATTGAAAGTTTGAGAAACACTACAGCTGTTTTTCTGAAGTAACCAGCCAAGACTCCTGGGAGAGTGGTTGCTCTAGGTTACCATAAGCATACTTAATTTTTAATAATCTGTTTAGAATCAATATTTTACCACTTCAAGTGGAATGTAAAAGTACAGATCCCTTCACCCTTCCTCTGTTTAATAGTTGTTTATGTATTACCATATGTTGAAAAGTTATCAGGCAGTGTTAGAGTTGTTTTGCTTTGTTTTGTTTTGATAGGTAAGAAGTAGACTTACTCAGATTCAGAGAAGCATGCTCCGCAGACAGAGTGTGGGCCACTGCAGACGGCGAGTGCAGTGCAGAGTTTTGTTTTTAATCCTCAGATACTTATCATTTTTACTGCTTTTTCTTCATTTCTGAATTTCCAGATTTCTCCCTGGTATCATTTCCCTTTGGTCTAGGCAAGCATGTAGAGCACTGTGGTGGCAGCAGGCCCTCTTTGTTTTCTTTCCCTTGTGACTGTCTTTGTTTCACCTTCTTCCCTGAAGGACATACACTTCTGCACTGACAGTTATTTCTTTTCCTTTCAGCACTGTAAAAATGTCATGCCACTTTTCTGGCCTTTCTGATGAATTGTTCTTCCCCTCTGAGTAACACGTTATTTTTCTCTGGCAGCTATAAAGACTTTTTCCTTTTTCAGCAGTTGGATTGTGAGCACAGATTTCTTTGGTTTTACCCTGTTTGAGGTTTGTTGAGCTTCTTGGTCACTTTGGAAAGTTTTCAGCTGTTATTTCTTCAAATGCTTTTCTGCACTGCACTCTCTCATCTTCTGGGACTTGAGTGAACTGTATATTAGACTTCGCTGGGGGCTTCCCTGGTGGCTCAGCGATAAAGACTCTGCCCGCAATGCAGGAGACCCAGATTGGATCCCTGGGTCAGGAAGATCCCCTGGAGGAGGCATGGCAGTCCACTCAAGAACTCTTGCCTGAGAGTGTCCATGGGGTCACAGAGTTGGACATGCTGAAGCGACTGAGCAGCAGCAGCCGTCCCTGATGCGCGGTTCATGTTTATTTTTCAGTCTCCTTGCCTTCTGTTTGGATTACATCATTTCTGTTGATTCACATTCAGGTTCACCAACTCCTTCCTCTTTAGTCTCCTTCCTGCTGTTGGACCCATCCAGTAAATTTTCTTATGTCAGTTATTTCTTTTCACTTCTCAAGTTTCCTTAGTTCCTTATACCTTCTGATTCTTTGTTAACACTTTATTTTTCCATGTTTCAGATCTCCCACTACAAAGCTGAGGCTGTTTCTCCTCCTTTGCCACACACTTCCCACAGCTGTAACCACACAGAGGCCAGGCAGTGGCAAGCTGCAGAGGAGAAAAGCAGCTCGTGGGCCCGCCCTTTCCAAGCTGCAGCCCCACTGAAGGAAAGGAAGGTCTCCCTGCAGAGTTGTGGCTGCTGCATCCCCTGTGTCTAGGCCACTGCCACCACCACCACAGGATCCTTAGGGTGTAGGAAATGGAGAAAAGAAAAAAAAATAGATTTCCTTATTCTCTTAGAACATTCTTGAGTTTTCTCTCCTATTCCTAAAGCCCCAGGACTTCTCATAGAATTTTCTGAATCCTAGCACAATTTCCATGTTGGCTGGGGGATAGCCATGTAGAAAACAGGGGTAAGCTCACTGGAAGTTTGGTGGTACTTGCACTCTAGTGTTCTTCCCCAGTAGCGGTTCCATGCATCCAGTGTCCCCAGCAAACACTTTAAATGTATAAAGGTACTTAAAGATCATAAGTGGATATATATGAAATTATGCCTTTAGAATCCAATCTGTATATTGACAGCCAAGTGTATTTTCTTAGCACATGGTCATTACCTGTTTACCTTGATAACTTACGGCACTGGAAGCGGTGTAGAGAACATACTCTGTTGGTACTCTGGCACCATCTGCTTTCAGATCCTGACTTCACCACTTCCTGTTCATGTAACCTTGGGCAAGGTGCTTGACCTTTTTGTATCTCAGCTTCCTCAAGTGAAAGCTCTGATAATATTTCTCCCACACCATAGATTGAGTGAGGATTAAATGATATAGTACATGTGAATAGTAATACAGTGTCTAGCCCATAGTAAGCTCTAAGGAATGCTAGGTGTGATCACTGTTAAGGGCAGAAACTTGTTTTCTTCATGTAGGCTCCTTAATTCAGAGGTTGGTTTTTAAAAGTTCAAGACTTGCGCTATTCTTTATGGACTTCCTAGGTGGTGCTAATAGTAAAGAACCCTCCTAACCAATGCAGGAGACATTAGAGATCAGGGTTCAAGCCCTGGGTTGGGAAGATCCCCTGGAGGGGGACAACCCACTGGCATCCCACTCCAGTATTCTTGCCTGGAGAATCCCATGGACAGAGGAGCCCGCTGGGCTCCATAGGTTCACGAAGAGTCTGACACAACTGAAGTGTATTATCACGCATGCTGTTCTTTATAAATGATTGACCTGATTTAGTCACAGTGATAGACCCTGTGCATGTGATGTGTTTCTGAGCATCTTTTCTACAAAAAGACCATTTGGCTAAAGGACTTTAGACACTGATAAAAGTATGTGTTGTTTAGCAAAGCTTCCTCCAGTGCTGAAAGATATATAATCAGAGTGTACCCTTTGCAGTCCTCCTGGATCTTGTTCTTCCTACTGTGGTGTTCCTGACCATCCATACTCTTCTCATACATCTCACTTCAGGTCCATGTGCTGACTTTCACTGTCTATATGTTGCTGCAAGGCCTCACCAACAAGCTACAAGTCGGGAGTTTGGACTCTTGTTTGAATATAATGATTGAGGTAAGATTTAGAGAAAGGAATTCTAATTTTTTTTTTTAAGCGTTCAAAGAACACAAATCATTTCATAAAATAAGACACAAGAATAGCCTATAAACAAACATATAAACATATATTAATAAATATAAAACATAAATATGAAACATGAAAATAATGTACTATCTCACCTCTTCGGCTGGCAGAGATTTAAAAAGCTAAGTTTCAAGTGACATGAGATGGGTGTCCTGCTGTAGGTCCTGAGTTGATATAATCAGGTGTGTGATCTGGGGTTTGTACAAATGTATACTCACCAGAATTGTATGTATAGTAGTGGAAAAAAGGGAAATTAAGCTACTTTTTGGTAATATCAAAAAAGTCCCTGTGTGTGCATTATATAATTATATATGTAAATCTATGTAGTATTCTTTTGTTTTTCATTGGTATAAACCTCAAAGTGTTTCTGTAATTGGTCTCCAAGCTACATTGAAAAAAGTGAAATCTAATAGAAATTTCTATTGTCTAATTTTAATCCAGTCCAATATGCTTTCCTTGACTTCAACAGACCATGCATTTTTGAGACTGCTTATGTTGGCATATCTTGCTTGAGTGTACATAATTACCATTTAGCTTTTTTCTTTTAAAGATTTTTTTTTTTTCCTTTTAAAGGTTTTTAACCACGAGTTGTTTGGTGCTGTTGCTGAAGAGAAGGAAGTAAAGCAGATCCTCTCCAAAGTCATGGAGGCACGAAGAAGCAAGAGTTATGATTCTTATGAAATCTTGGGCAAGTTTGTAGGAAAAGATCAGGTTACCAAACTTATCCTTCCACTAAAAGAGGTAAGGACTTGAATGTAATATAGGAAATCACCACCTTTCAGTATCTTGAGTTCTTGAAAAGAGCCTTGAACATCATGATTCACTTTAGTACTAAGAACACCCGTACCATGTGTCTGACAGCCCTGAGATGGGCATTCTGATCCTGGAGTCAGATGTAAACCATGAGATGCAAAAGAAAAGGCAACAAGAATTGAATTATAGGTGAATTACACAGCTGAGTCCCATCAGTAACTAAGAATAGCCTTTGGAGTGAGACTGCTGCCCCCAGACTGCCAAGAGCACGCGCACTGGCATTTTTGGAACACATCAGTGTTCTTAGCACTGTGCTTCATTACATCTTCTGATCTGCACAGCCATCCCTGAGATTGACAGTGCTTCCATCTGACACGTGAGAAAGTTCAGGCTCAAACAGGTAGAAAGAAACATGAATAAGGAGAAAAGCCAGGATTTCATGCCAGATCTTTCTGAAGCTGGAATTTCAAAGCTCACATTCTTTCCATTTTCATTCTGCCTCCTACTGGGCAGGGACTGTAATTTACCTGCCTTCCGAGTGCTCGCTATGCCTGTTGCAAGGGTGAACGTTCAGCAAGCTTTATTCATTCACTTTATTACAGTTTTACATACCAAACCTAGAGCAAAAAACCCTATCTAATGACGTAAATTAACTAATTCCACGTAAGCCCTAATTGTTCCTAAGATACATTTAGCTTATCTGAGTCTGATCTAAGAATGTTAGATGTGTTTTTAAGATGAAAAAGAGTCGACAAAGCACACATATTTTCCATGTAAATTATCAAGTCCCTGCAAGGTAATGAAAGTTCCTAATACCATGTCCTGTGCAGAGGACTAGCTGTGAGGCGCTGGGATTTTCCTGGGGTGATGGTGCTGAGCGCCCATTAAGTTCCTCTGATTTGGCCCAGTACCTGATACCCAGCCCTGTGGCTTGGCCGTCATGTGTCTTCATTAGCGAGGTTTCCTGCAAGGAGTGACTGCGTGGTGTTGGTATGTATGTGCTTGTCTGTAAACCACCCCATCTAATGCACTTGGAAGGCTGGCACCTTCCAAGTGTCACATCCTATCTCCAGCGCTGTGCCCAGACCTCAACAACAAAGAGAAGACAGAGGCGGCCCAAAATCTCCAGAGGCATACACTAATGGCAGTGGTTATTGCTGGGGTTGAGGTCATGGGCAAATTTGATTTTATGTTATTCTTATATTTGAAATTTCATTAAGAATGTTTCATTTTTAATTAGGAAAAACCATATATTAGAAATAATATATAAAAGAAAATACTGTTATAACAAATCAAAATGCAGTTCTGTCACCTCAGCATGTATTTGTGTTTGCCTTTAGATCTTGCAAAATACCACAAGCTTGAAACTGGCCCGGAAAGTTCACGAAACCTTACGCCGAATCATAGCAGGATTACTTGTAAACCAGGAAATGACAGCAGAATCCATTCTGTTGCTTAGTTATGGTTTGGTCAGCGAAAATCTCCCCCTGTTAACACAGAAAGAAAAGTAAGTTTGAAAAAAGCAACTATTCTTTTAGGTGCTTGCTTCAAATAAGCCATTCAATCCTCAGCATCTTAAGAGGGTTCATTTAATAATTGGCTTTAGTAAAAGAAAAAAAAAGTATATTTATCTGAGATGTGAGATCGTACTACTTTGTGGTATTCGGACTGAGGTCCTTCCAAGTGATACATGTCAACACAAGATTATTTTTCTGCTGAATGAAGTAGCTGTGAAGGCAACCAATTATTTTAACATTTCTCTGACACCACTTTTTAGATATTTATTCAATTCAAGTTAGGGTTGATTTTAAATAAATACTTCCTGTTCTGACCAGAGTCTTAGACCTCCAAAGATTTTTAAATACCTTATTTGTGAACTTTTTTTGGATTTTGCTTCTGGGGTGTTCTAAGAAAGACTCCTTGGCGTTTGTTTTCAGAAATCAAAGGGAGCATCCCTTTGCTGTTCATTTTAACTTAGACGTGCATTCAGCCCTCTGACCTCTGCTTCTGGGGCTCTAGAAACTTTGATCAGCAACCTGATCATCCCTTCTGTGTCTCGTGGTTAAGGGAGAAAAGCCTCACAGCACATTATTTGGTGCTGGACACTCCTCACCAGAAGGAGACACAGTAGCTTCTGGGGATGCAGCTTACAATGTGTTTGTCTCCACTGGTTTTCATTCCATTTGATTGACAGAAATCCAGCAACCCCCGCACCAGATCCACGCCTGCCACCCCAGAGCTGTCTTCTGCTCCCCCCAGCTCCAGTTCGAGGCGGACAGAAAGCTGTCGTGAGCAAGAAAACCAACATGCACATATTTGTTGAGTCTGGGCTTCGGGTAAGAAAGAACCTTAAGTGAGCCTTGCTGCCCACAGGGAGTCTGTGCCCTTTAATCTTCTGCTGAGTCTCCAGTGCTGCTCGTTTCCACTGGAAACGCTTTTTACCATCAGTTACGGAATTCATTTTAAGGTGCATTGGTCCATTTACTATTTGTTACTTACTTTGATGATAGAACTTTCTCAGAATTAGTGATTCTGACCTAATATTTACAGTGCTTTCACTGTTGCTTTTCCTATGAGTTTGTACCTCTGAACTACTCTTAAATTTTTTTAAAAGATGGTGAGGTTTTAAAAACACAAATTTGGTGGAGAGGGAGGTGGAAGCAGGGATCGGGATGGGGAATACATGTAAGTCCATGGCTGATTCATGTCAATGTATGACAAAAACCACTACAATATTGTAAAGTAATTAGCTTCCAGCTAATAAAAATTTAAAAAAATAAAAAACACAAATTTGACCATTTTACTGTAGGTATGTTTTTTCATCCTTCATTGGCTCCCCCTTTCCCAGGAGAGAGCCGTGTCTTTCCTCTGGGCCACAGGGGAATAGCCTCACACTGGATGCAGGGCTTCCCTTCAGTTCTCCAGAGTCCCTACACTTTTCCCACCCCAGCACCTCACCATCTATTCCTCCCTCTGCCCAGGTCCCCACAGAACTCTCAAAGCACCCTCCTTTTTATTTATTTATTTTATTTATTTTTTTACGTCAGACAGGTAATGTGCTGATGTCATAACAAGGTTTGGAGGGAGGCACATGTCACGCAGCAGCGTGAACACCCAGTCATCATGCTCATGAACTACAAAAGAATCAGCACCCTCTTTTTATAGTGAATTATTCACTAGAGTCTGTCATCCTGGCCAAGAGCCATCAGGGCCAGGACTCTGCCCATCTTGGTTTATTGCCACATCCTTCATGCTGGGCCAGTGCATAGAGTCAAAGTAGATGCCGAGCAATAACCATTTGGTAAATGAACTTCGAATCTCAGCTGCAGGGGGAGCTCCCACCTTCTCCATTTAGTGAGACTGTCTCCCAGGTGGTTCCCTTTTCTTTGCACTTTTTATGATTTCAAATAGAAGTGTCTTAACTTTTCGCATTAGTCCCTCAAAATCATTTCACCTTAACCTCATTCTTATGCCCAACTAACATGAAGTATCTTTTTAAAACTTCTAGCTGTTGCACCTTAGTCTGAAGACCTCCAAGATCAAGTCTTCAGGTGAAAATGTCATGGAGATGTTGGACCCCTTTGTGTCTCTCCTCGTAGACTGCCTGGGTTCCATGGACGTTAAGGTGAGAGTCTGTTGCATCACAGGGCCTGTGTCTTGCAGAATACAAAGCTTATTTCTAGGCTCGTGCTTCACAGGGTGGTTAAGTGTTTAAAGAGATTTACAACAACATGAACCACCTCTGTTACCTGCATTGAGTCGCTCCCTTAACAGCAACTTAATAATAATGGAGAGCCCTTAATAATTACAAAAGCCCTTCTAAGGCACTTCCCTGGTGGTTCAGTGGTTAAGACCCCGTGCTTCCAATGCAAGGGTCACAGGTTCAATCCCCGGTTGGGAAGGTCCGCATGCCATTCAGTGAGGCCAAAAAAAGCCCTTCTAAGTACATTAGCTGTTTCGTTTGATCCTCACAGCTTCCTGAGGGCAAGAGGTGCTGTCCCCATGGCAGTGATCATCTCCTTCTCCTTGTCACTACGGCTTACTGCCGTGATTCCTCATAACAGCCCATGAAGCGTATATCATTAATGCTTCTACTTCAAAGATGAGAACTCCAGGCCTTTAGCTAAGTGACTTGTCACCTATGACAGATCTAGGATGTGAGCCTCAGTCTGTCAGACTCCAAAGCCCACACCTTGCCAACCTTGTCAGATGGAGTGTTTCCCAGTAAAGGTGCCAAGAGGTAAAGGAACATCTCTGCAGTGAAACAGGTAATAAGCTGCAGATCTGGGATTGAAGCCCTGGTTTTGTGACTCTTAAGCTCCTTCCTCTGTCTTCATCGTATCCAGACCAATAAGGCCATTCCAGCAATCAGAGTATAGGTGTCTATTGGGTAGAGCTGAGCCAAGTGAACCAGCTGGCCTAGATAATCTCGAAGGCTCAGGGATCCTTTTGTAGTCACTTGATCCCAGCACATTTCTCTTATCTTTGGCACTCCACATAACTATATCAAATTATAGGTCACAGTTCCCATGGTTAATTTCTGAGTCAGCTATCTGTTCTTTAAATGGCAGAATGGCATCCTTTTTATTGTATTTCTAACACTCTGTAGAGTGTCTTGTGACATAATAAAAGCTCAATAAGAATGGATTACATGAAAGAACCATTCTAGAAAATTGGAAAGGCATTTATAATGTGATTTTCAAAAAAAGAAATGCTAAAATTAGCCAGCCCATCTAATCATTTACATAGTAGGTTAAGAATGTGATAAGTGAGCACCTTTTCTCACTTGTTTGGGCTGTACCTTCCATTGTGTGGAGAAGCGCTTAAGCTTCTCCAACAGGAAAGAGGAAACTTCCTTATCTTACTCTTACACTTCAGGCATAGTGCTTCCCGAGTAGACTGACAGAGCACTTCATTCCTTCGACTCGATTGCCCAGAGTCTGCACAGCCTCGGGTGCTGGATTATTGACTTTGGTCACTTCACCAGTTGATTGGCGTTTTCTGTTTTTGGTTTTTCAGGTGATCACAGGTGCTTTGCAATGCCTGATCTGGATCTTGAGGTTCCCCCTGCCATCTATAGGCACAAAAGCAGAACAGCTGACAAAGCACCTTTTCATTCTGCTGAAGGACTATGCAAAGCTTGGGGCTGCCAGGGGCCAGAACTTCCACCTGGTGGTAAATTGTTTCAAGGTGAGATGTTTTCACATGCACTCAGAAAAAGCCGGGACCAGGACTAGCAACATAGTGAATTTTGCTTATCATTCTTTATGGTCTTGGTCAAAATTTCTTCCAGATTAGTTTGGTAAGGCCAGAGTGTTAGTACACTGTGTGAAAAAACATTGCTGTTGTATTGAGTCCTCATCATTCCACTGGATGCTGGTCTGTGAGATGCTCTGTTAACCTCACTGTTGTTGCCTTGCAGTGTGTGACCATACTTGTGAAGAAAGTGAAGTCGTACCAGATAACTCAAAAGCAGCTTCAAGTTCTGCTAGCATATGCTGAGGAGGACATCTATGATACTACAAGACAAGCCACTGCATTTGGTCTTCTGAAGGTATGGCAGCACCAGATTGTTGGGTTGTGCAGTGTACGAGCCTCATGTCAGATATTTAGAATTACATGGAACATAGTGCTCTGACTAGCGGTAGATAGTTCTTATAAAGATTATTATTTTTTGATTAATTGTAAGCTAACATATCTACTTACTAAAATTTTTTTTCCATTTATTTTTATTAGTTGGAGGCTAACTACTTTACATTATTGTAGTGGTTTTTGCCATACATTGACATGAATCAGCCATGGATTTACATGTGTTCCCCATCCCGATCCCCGCTCCCACCTCCCTCTCCACCCGATCCCTCTGGGTCTTCCCAGTGCACCAGCCCCGAGCACTTGTCTCATGCATCCAACCTGGGCTGGTGATCTGTTTCACCCTTGATAATATACACGTTTCGATGCTATTCTCTCTAAACATCCCACCCTCACTAAAATGTTTGAATGTGAGCTCTATATTAAACTTCAGGGAATTCTATACAAAGGCAGGTACTTTACTTGTACATTTCATAAAATTGACCATTATAACCATTTTTTTAAGCTTATATTCTTTTCCTTTTGGAGATACTTTCATTATATTTGAAAACTGCCTGAGGCTACTTGAACATCAGGTCGGCTTAGTAAACAAGAAGCCATTTGCAGTAAAACATGAAATGAGTATGTCTTCTCATTTTGTGTTTCAGGCCATTTTATCAAGAAAGTTGTTGGTCCCAGAAATTGATGATGTCATGCGGAAAGTGTCCAAGCTGGCAATCTCTGCACAAAGCGAACCTGCCAGGGTCCAGTGCAGACAGGTTTGTGGAGAGAATTTTTTCCCATGGCGAGGGTCGGGCCCGCCTTCTCTGTTTGGTTTTTAGGTAGAGAAAGGTCAACACTGCTTGGATTCTGAAGACTTTGTGTCATGCTGTTGTTTGAGACTCAGGATTCCATTCACATACCAAGTACAGGCCATTTTTCAGTATAAGGAGCATTTTGAGTATAGCCCTTATGTGGCATATTTCAGATGGATGAAGAAATACATTTGTCTCTGCAGCATGATAACCTGCAAGAAAGATTTCCATATGGTGGTCCAGTCAGAGTCCCTATCTGTCCTATAGTAGACACGCACAAAGCAGAACGAAAAAAAAAAAAAGAAATCCCACGAATGGTTATTTAATTAGTCATTATAAGTTCCATGAGGAAAACAATACTGTCATATTTCTACTTCATCACTTAAAGACACACCATTACTTATATACCTCAGAGAAAGAAAAAACTTTGACATAGTGGTATGATGCCATTCATTGTAAGATATCTCAATTTCAGTCTGATACGTTAAAATGTAGAAAACTGTGCTTCTTAAAATCTACAAAATATGGAAGAACATATGACATAGTGGAAGACCACCTTAGTGGGACAGTGAGGGAAAGCTTTCCTGAGGACTGGCATGTAAGCGGAATTTGAAGGAAGAAACAAGGCTTAGCCTTGCAGGCTGGAAGATGAGCCTTGAGGTGGGTAAGAGCTTAGCTTGTTGAAGGTGAATGAGAGGGGAGGGTGCCAGATACGGCAAGACCTTGTAGTCTTGTTAAATATTTAGGGCTTTGTTCTAAGAATAACAAAAAGTCATTGAAATCAGTAGACCGAGGAATGACATTAGCAGGTTTGTTTTCATAAAAATCTGTCCTGATATAGGACCACATATCAACACAGGAAATAGAAGGTTCTGAATTGGAAATATGAACTCGGAGTTAAAGAGGGCCTGGGCTGCTGAGGCTATATTCAGAGGAAGTTAACTTATTTAGGAAGCAGGAGGGCCAGGTGCTGTTTATTAAGCACTAGCTGCACGCCCAGCACTTTACATACGAAGCCTCTATTTGTAACTTTCCTTCAAAGGAAACAGCACCACTGTTTTATGGTCGAGGGAAAAACAGGCTTTGGAAAGGTTAATGATGTGCCTAGTTCTCGAAGCTTATTAATAAAGGAAGCGGAATAATGCAGCAGTTTGGAGGCTCTGAAAGGAGAGCCTTTGGATGTAGACACCCTAAGCATGGGGTTCTGGGACTACCACCTGTGCAAGTTACTTAGCTTCTGTGCGTGTTCCATTCTCTTTATCTGTAAAAGGGGTCGCATCTGCTGCCTAAGGGAGCATGAAAACCAGCTGAGCAACACTTCACCCCATGCGTGACACACAGAAGGCATTCAGTGAGTGCAGTGTTTATTATCACTGTTACTACCGCTGTTACTGCCCTTCTCACTTCAGGGGAAATGTAGGGTGAGCCACAGTCCATACTCAGCTCACCAAAGCCTCCTTCCAGAGTGAGGAGCTGCCAGGGTGTGAGCTGGGGTTTGGAGCTCTAAACAGCCAGGCTCACGGTCGGCCAGGACTTGGCTCCTCACCAGGCAGGACCTGAGGAAGTGAGGTGGACGGAGAGGGAAGAGGCACAGTTACTGACTCAGGAGGTGGGCTTCACCTAATGATCACCCTGCTATGTGTAGCCTACCAGTGCGTCCCAGAAAGCAGGTCAGGAGAAAGGAATCCTGGAGAGACAGGCTCCAAATACTCTTCTCATGTGATTTCTGTCTCTAGGTTTTTCTGAAATACATTCTTGACTATCCTCTGGGTGACAAACTGCGACCAAACTTGGAATTCATGCTCGCTCAGCTGAAGTAAGTTGGAGTCATAAACGATGCAAGGTAGTGGGGGGGGGGGGGGGGTAGTTCCTTCCGCTTTTAATGTGTGGGCTGTCTTGAAAAGGGCAAAGTCAAAACATAATGGCAGATTTTCCCAGAGTGCTACCCTGTAAGCCACTGGCTTGACTGCCAAGCACTGTACATAGCTTCATAGAGCAGTTCTGTAAGCTGCTTTTCAGTTCAGTCTGATCATCAGTTGTCCTTAAAGTCCGCTTAGTAGAACACTAAAAATCTAACAATTCTATTTTAAACTGCAAAGTACCCTGATAAGTACCTGTATTAAAGTTGGGAAAATGGAGTTTTTTCCCACTTTTTAAGAAATAGACTGGCACCTTGAGGCAATATTTTAAATTCTTAAAAATAATTATTGGTCAATTTTAAAGTTACTAACAAGTCCTTCTGATGTTCTTACCCTAGTTATGAACATGAGACCGGGAGAGAGTCCGCCTTGGAAATGATTGCTTATCTCTTTGACACGTTCCCTCAGGTACTGTGAATCATGGATACAGACTCTTAGCTGTGGCTTCTGGGAGCCATGGGCCTCCTTTGGTAGGACATACGTGAGAACTCTGGTCTCATTGTGCTCATAAGTGTCTGTTTTCTTTTAGGGACTGCTCCATGAGAACTGTGGAATGTTCTTTATTCCTCTTTGTCTCATGATGGTGAACGATGACTCTGCCATGTGTAAGAAGATGGCATCCATGGCAATCAAATCCTTACTCAGTAAAATCAGCCTTGAGAAGAAAGATTGGCTCTTCGATATGGTTACCACCTGGTTTGGGGCAAAGAAGGTCAGGGTTGCTTATAGTTATACTGCAAAGAAAATACTGAGCTTTTGGTGTTTATACTTTAAGAATGCATATTATACATTGTTGAATTAATTTTTCCCAAGTAGCTTTATTGTTTTTGATTATGGTAATAATATAGGCTTGTAGGAAAATTTTAGAAAATATAAGAAGTTATAGAGAGTAACAACAAATAGAGAATAACATAAAAATCACCTGTATTCCTACAACATGGTCAGTGTTGCCCAGTTAACTCCACTACATGAATGTATTATAATTTACTTAACCAATCTCCATTGATATATTTGTTTCCAGTTCATTCCTGTTGATGAATATCTGCTTATACAATTTATAGAATGTATTTCTTGCCAATAATTGTATCAAGTTGCTAAATCTAGCCCCATCATCACTGGCCCATCTTTGTGGAATACAAACAACACATCATAACTTAACACTGGCTTTAAAATCAGAATGGGATTTTGGGCAGGGGGCCTGGAACACTTTTCAGTGAATAATCATGAATACCAATTTTTAAAAATTTTGTTCTAGGGAGATGAAGATTTCTTTGTATTTTTCATGTTAGCTACCAAAAATCCACATCCTGTTGACTTCTGGTATCATAAAGAACTATTGAGGACAGAGTCATAACCACCTTTATTTCAGTTTTGGAAACAGCCTCCCAAGTTTATTGTCTTGTGATGGTTTTATTTTCTGTAGCGCTTAAATCGACAACTAGCTGCTCTGATCTGTGGCTTCTTTGCGGAAAGTGAAGGAGTCAATTTTGAGAGAAGACTTGGAATTGTTCTCCCTGTGATTGAAAAGGAAGTTGATCCTGAAAACTTTACAGATGTAAGTTATTTGTTAGGGAGTAAAAGTGTTGGTTATTTTTGTAGTTATACTTGAGGTAGTATAGCTAACAGGCTAAATATTTGCGTCAAAAATGTTTATTACTAAAAGTAAGAACTCAGTGCAGTTCTATCTTCTTTTGTGAAAAGAAGATTAAGTTATCTTCCATAGTGTATGATGATCAAAATTCCATAAGCCCCTCGGGGACATTTAGCAATGTTTGGAGACAGTTTTGGTTGTCACAGCTGGAGGACAGAAGGGCATTACTCTTATCTAATGGGTAGATGCCAGGAGTATTGATAAACATCCTCTAATGCACAGCACAGCCCCCCAAAGCAAAGAATTACCTGACCAAAATGTCAGCAGTGTTGTGCTTGAGAAACCCTGCTATAGTTGTACATCCTGGAGTAAAAATGTCCATAAAATACTTTGAAATTATTGCCTTAATTAATTTAACATTCTTCCTACTTTTAGATCATGGAAGAGACTGAAGAAAAAGCTGCAGATCGCCTTCTGTTCAGCTTTCTTGTACTGATAAGTAAACTCATCAAGGAATGTAATATCATTCAGTTTACCAAGCCCTCTGAAACTCTGAGTAAAATCTGGAGTGAGTATTTCCTTTTTCTTTAAAAATAAACACATTAGAAATATATAATATCAGGGGGAAAGTTCATAAGAAAAAGATTTAAAAGGCCTTTCAGATTGATTACAGTGAAAGTATTTTTTTCTGGGAGAAAAAGCAAATTATATATCATAAATATTTCATTTATAAATAAAAAAAATTAATTATGTTAATTATTATTTAGTTGCTAAGTATTGTCTGACCCCTGTGACCCCATGGACTGTAGCCCTCCAGGCTGCTACTCTGTCCGTGGGATTTCCCAGGCAAGAATACTGGAGAGGGTTGCCATTTCCCTCTCCAGGGGATCTTCCTGACCCAGGGATCAAACCTGTGTCTCCTGCATCACACGTGGATTCCTTACCACCAAGGAAGCCCAATTATGTTAATTATGGAGGAGTGAAAGAAAGAAGTTTCCCAAAGTCCTCCTTGCTACTTACTTGTTAGACATTTCCATCCAGTCTTCCTTTTGTCAAATAGCCATAGGGTTTTTTGAGGTTGCCTAATATTTGTTATGTAACACTCTTTAAATAAAAAATAAGATCCTAGAATTATTAATTTAACATTTTAGCTTTGATTAATCAAAACTAAATACTAGGAAATAGACACTGCAGTGAATGCTTTAAATAACCATTTGTTTCAAGAGAACTCATGATTTTATGAGAAAAATAATCCAGTTACTAAGTTACTGTATAACCTACTCTGGTATGGCTCCTTTGAGATATTACAAAGGTTCATATAAAAAAAAAAAGTAAAACCATCTTTATGAAATATAGCATAGACTAAAATTCAGATATGACATGGATCATTCAAAATTTTAGTCCTGTTCCCCACCACAAGGCTTTTCTATTGTAATTCCCAAGTGTGGTACATGGAGAGTGGCCCTGAGAGTAGCGTGAGGGAATGAGCTTTAAGGGTGCACGGTGAAGAGCCTTCAAGAGGTCATACTGAAGGATACGAGCTTTGGGGCCAGGCTTGGTTCTGCCTGTTACAGCTTGGCACAGTACTTAGCCCCCTCTGGAACTATAAACTGGGAATGACAATTCCAGCCTCCCAGAACTGTTGTGAGGTCTAAGTGAGCTAATACGTGTAACACCCTTAGCCTGTGGCTGGCACACAGAAAGCCTCAGTAAATGACACCTTTCCAGTCAGCTGCTTGGTGCCACTGATTTCAGCAGTTAGGAGAAATGAGTGTGTGCCCATATATATATTTATACTAACTTTAACTTGAAATTGCAGTTGTTAATGCTACCTTACCTCCTTGAATCTGAAGCTAAGTTCTTATGAAACTGGCCTGTTTTTAGTCTTACTCAGATCTCTCTCCTCATGTCATTTCCCATGGTAGGAGTTGGTTCTCTAGTTATTTCAGTCTCCACCTCACTTCTGAGAAGCAGGGACTATTTTGTTCATCTTTGGTTCCTAAATTCAGGCACATAATAGATACTCAAGAAATGCCGACATCAGTCGTGCTCACGACCACAGAGTCAGGAAAGCCTTGAGACAGACATCTGAGAATGTGTTTTGGCTCCATCAGGTCACGTGCACGCCCACTTGAGATACCCGCACAGCTGGGTGTGGCTCACAGCAGCCCAGATTTTTGGATTGCTCTTTGCCTCTTGCCAACCTGAGGAACTTATCAGCAAACGGCATGTCAAAAAAACCAAAAAGAAAGTCTCGGAACCTGTCGCAATCCGCTTCCTAACAACTGACCTTGAGCAAAAGGTAAGTTTCCTCTAACACCTTTTCCTTCCCTCATCTTCATGAGGTATTCATTCTGGTTCATGTTACTATCTTGGGGTTGGCCCTTGGGAGGAACTCTTCTAGTCAACAACCTGATGCACATGTGGATCCACACAAGTATTAGTAACTAGAGAGGGTCACCCTCAAGGCCAAAGTTTTTCGAAGAAAAATTTTAGACCACTAATCAGATTTTTTATTTGTTTATTTAGCATATTTAAGTTCTTTATCAGTGCTGGAAAGTAAGATATTGTCTGTCGTGCCTCCTTCATAACCTTGTTGATGCCTCAATGAAATCATCATGTTCATGAAAATGTTAGGCAGGGACCATGTTATATCTGTCTCCCATGTCTTAGGGCCTAGCATGACACCTGGCTTACAGTGGAAACGCCATAAACATTGAATGAGTGGAGGATCAGTTCAGTTCAGTCACTCAGTCGTGCAGCACGCCAGGCCCCCCTGTCCATCACCAACTCCCAGAGTTTACTCAAACTCATGTCCATTGAGTCGGTGTGCCATCCAACCATCTCATCCTCTGTCATCCCCTTCTCCTCCTGCCTTCAGGCTTTTCCAGCATCAGAGTCTTTTCAAATGAGTCAGTTCATCACATCAGGTGGCCAAAGTACTGGAGTTTCAGCTTCAACATCACTCCTTCCAATGAATATTCAGGACTGATTTCTTTTAGGATGGACTGGTTGGATCTCCTTGCAGTCCAAGGGACTCTGAAGTCTTCTCCAACACCACAGTTCAAAAGCATCAATTCTTCAGCTCTTGGCTTTCTTTATAGTCCAACTCTCACATCCATACATGACTACTGGAAAAACCATAGCTTTGACAAGATGGACCTTTGTTGGCAAAGTAATGTTTCTGCTTTTTGATATGCTCTCTAGGTTGGTCTTAGTTTTTCTTCCAAGGAGCAAGTGTCTTTTAATTTCATGGCTGCAGTCACCATCTGCAGTGATTTTGGAGCCCCCCAAAATAAAGTCTGCCACTGTTTCCACTGTTTCCCCCTCTATTTGCCATGAAGTGATGGGACTGGATGCCATGATCTTAGTTTTCTGAATGTTGAATTTTAAGCCAGCTTTTTCACTCTCCTCTTTCACTTTCATCAAGAGGCTCTTTAGTTCTTCTTCCCTTTCTGCCATAAGGGTGGTGTCATCTGCATATCTGAAGTTATTGAGATTTCTCCCAGCAAACTTGATTCCAGCTTGTGCTTCATCCAGCCCAGCATTTCGCATGATGTACTCTGTATATCAGTTAAATAAAGCAGGGTGACAATATACAGCCTTGATGTACTCCTTTCCCAATTTGGAACCAGTCTACTGTTCCATGTCTGGTTCTAACTGTTGCTTCTTGACCTGCATACAGATTTCTCAAGAGGTCAGGTGGTCTGGTATTCCCATCTCTTGAGTTTTCCACAGTTTGTTGTGATCCACACAGTCAAAGGCTTTGGCATAGTCAATAAAGCAGAAACAGATGTTTTTCTGGAATTCTGTCGCTTTTTCTGTGAACCAGCAGATGTTGGCAATTGGATCTCTGGTTCCTCTGCCTTTTCTAAATCCAGCTTGAACATCTGGAAGTTCATGGTTCACGTATTGTTGAAGTCTGGCTTGGAGAATTTTGAGCATTACTTTGCTAGCATGTGAGATGAGTGCAATTGTGCGCTAGTTTGAGCATTCTTTGGCATTGCTTTTCTTTGGGATTGGAATGAAAACTGACCTTTTTCAGTCCTGTGGCCACTGCTGAGTTTTCCAAATTTGCTGGCATATTGAGTGCAACACTTTCACAGCATCATCTTTTAGAATTCAAAATAGCTCAACTGGAATTCCATCACTTCCACTAGCTTTGTTTGTAGTGATGCTTCCTAAGGCCCACTTGACTTCGCATTCCAGTATGTCTGGCTCTAGGTGAGTAATCACACCATCGTGATTATCTGGGCCATGAAGGTGTTTTTTGTATAGTTCTTTTGTGTATTCTTGCCACTTCTTCTTAATCTCTTCTGCTTCTGTTAGGTCCATACCATTTCTGTCCTTTATTGTGCCCATCTTTGCATGAAATGTTCCCTTGGTACATTTCAAGTAACTATAATAGTGCAACTAAGGTAGCAGGTTTTTCTTAGGGGAGATAGAGGGGAGATAGAGGGGAGGATGGAAGAAAAGAGAAAGGGAAAGTGTTTGAAGGTTGTAAAATTGTCTACCAGTAATCTAAAGATTATGATTTATCTCTCCCCATGTCCTTTAGCTAAAATGCTTATGACAGATAGAAGGGAACATCTAATTTCTGCTCATGAACCTTCTCCAGATCTATGCAGGTGGTCATTCAGAGAAAAATCTGCTACCTTAGTTGCATTATTACAGTTACTTGAAGTTTTTTAAAAACAATCAGGAATACCCTGTGTTGTGTCTGCCAATGTCCATTTTCTTTTCACAGATGAAAAGTATCTCCCTAGCCTCTTGCCATCAGTTGCACTCCAAATTCTTGGACCAGTCTCTAGGAGAGCAGGTAAGTAGTATAATTCCAGTTAAATATAAGGGACCTATGCTACTAACAGTATAGGAGTAAGCTCACATTTGGTTTTTGTTTTTCCTAGTTAAGTCTTGGGGAATTAAATGAAATATAAATAAACAATTTATACATGATCAATTAGGCACACATATCTAATCGACTCTGGAGTCCATACTGGGATTACTCCTGGCTCTGTTTAAAATTACCAATAAAAATGGTACATTTAGGGGCTTTGCTGGTGGTCTAGTGATTAAGACTGTGCTCCCAATGCAGGGGGAATGGATAGCAAAGTGAGGCCAAAGAAGTCATGCCAGGGTGGACAGTGGGTGGGGTCTCACACAATGTATTTTAGTAGAGGCTGATAAACCATACATACTCAGGACAGGTAGGAAGAGATTGACTAATACTGACCCAGGATGAACGAAATTATGGATTTTGGTTCACCTTAATCTTGGAGTTAACAATGTGAAGTGGTTGTTAAGGGGGAAAAGGCCTCCAAATCTGGTACTGTCCTCACAAAGGCTCAGCTTCCAGAAGGAAGTGATACTCTTGGCATTAACTCTTGATGGCCAGGCTAGTCTTGGACAGCGTGTAGTAGTCTGAGTACCACATGTGGGGGAACTTTAGGCACATAGCTCCTCTAGAGGCACACAGTGGCCTCTCCTGGCTACTCCTCTGTTGAGTAGCCAGGATGGTGAAGGAGTTCAAAACCGACTTGATTTCCTCCTTCACACAACAGGTGTGAAATACCCACACCAGAGATTGCATAGATGTCCCAAGATTAGGATTCGATAAATGGGTCCATTATTACAAGACGGAAAGTACCACCCCTGGGCAGTAGTTAATGGGATATGTGGGAAAGAAGAGGCTCAGTATACAAGAACTTGGGCTTGAATTCTAAAGACCTTTGACTTCTGGCTGACCACTTTGTCTTTGGGTGAGATTCAGCAACTCTGTGCCTGCCTTGGTTTTCTCTGCTGTAACAGTACTTGATGTGTTCAGTTGTGTCTGACTTTTTGCAACCCCATGGACTGTAGCCTGCTAAGTTCCTCTGCCCATAGATTCTCCAGGCAAGAATACCAAAGCGGGTTGCATCTCCTGCTCCAGGGGATCTTCCTGACCCATGGATCAAACCCATGTCTCTTGCGTCTCCGCATTGGCAGGCGGATTCTAGTGCCACTTGGGAAGCCCAGTAGTACCTGATAGGGATATTTTAAAGTTGAATTGGAATGTATACAAAGCAACTAGTCAGTGCTCAAAAAATGAAAATTGTTATTTCTATGAAGACTAGATGAAGGAATTTAATGGAATGAGGATGAAAGCCTCTTGAAAAATAATAAATGGATGGTCCAGAATGAAATTACTCAGTGGGACCTTAAAGAACAAAAGTAGGCCAAATGGATAAAAGTTACATGGAAGTAGATTTGGACACACTGTAGGGTAAACTGAATTTTTACAAAAAGGGACTGCTCATGAATATTGGAATTTACCAAGCCATATTTACTACAAAATCAGAATCTAATTCTTACCTTTCCCCTCTCTCCTGCCTCCCCACACCCCTTTTTTCTAAGGTTGTTAAGAATTTGTTATTTGTAGCCAAAGTCTTATATTTACTGGAACCTGACTCTGGGGATAAGCAAGGGGACATAAAAGAAGACATGGAAGAACAGGAAGTTTTCGGTGATGGCACGGCCAGAGAGGGTGTGGAAGAACACAGGGTGTGTGCAGATGAGAAGGAAGAGCACAGCAAGCCAGCCACACTGCTCTGGCTGATCCAGAAGCTGTCCCGGATTGCAGCAGTGGAAGCCGCTTATTCACCTAGAAACCCCTTAAAGGTGTGGTGCATATGCGAAATGCCTCAAAGTAGCCTTTCTTTTCTTTTTTTTTTAAATTTTAATGATACTAGCTATCCTCCCAAGGTTCCTCCTAGAACCTTTTGAACCCAGAACTGTAGCATAATATCTGCCCCTAAATAGACCTTGTTTTCTAAGTTAACTCTGTAGCTACAAGTACAAAAGAAAAATGATCTGTATTTTCAGAGAACATGCATCTTTAAATTTCTTGGAGCCATAGCAATGGACCTTGGAATAGACAAGGTGAAGCCGTATCTCCCAGTGATCATAGCGCCTTTGTTCCGGGAACTGAACAGCACCTATTCAGAGCAGGGTAATTCTGCGTCTTCTTCTACACGTTAAAATACCTATCTTCTCTCCTGAATGCTTCTTTTCTGTCCTCCCTTTCTGCCAGAGTTTAGCAAGAAAACTTGCCTAGGTATCAAGGCAACAGCAAACAAATAAGGCGTATTTGTGTTATTTTTCACTGTCTTCTATATGCTTTCTTGTGTCTAAGAGTGAAGGTTTCTCTCCTAAAGGATGATGTTTTTAACTCCTAAGTGTAGATTAAATATTAAAAGAAAACCAATTTGGGGTGGTTCTAAACCTCACAGCGCTGTGAACAATAATGAACAAATTTCACTATAGTCTCTTAAGAATTATAAGGCAAAACTATCAAACAGTTTTCAGTTCAGATGTTTTCATTTTTCCCAGTATATTTTCTTGCCTGGTTCATTTGGTACCTTTCCCTCAGTGATCCTTAAGTTATCTCTTTCAGTAACAGGACTAGTGGAAATTAGGGATTGGAAAGCAAGGGAGTAAAGTGAATGTTAAGAGTTTTAAAGTATTAACAAATGAAGTAAATGACAAAACAGGAGCTGTCTTACTCCTACAACCCTGAGAGTTTCCTTAGAGTAGGTCAGGTTGGCTTTGGCTCTCAGCCAGCACTCACAGAACACCGAATATTTGCCAGGCACTGGTGGTTAAGAGAGTCTTTGATTCCGCCCCTCACCCACCCCCCGCCCAAAAAAGAAGAGGTTACAGCCAGAGCCAAGCCTCTGTGACCCATGAATTAGAGAGGACCTAGAGATATATGCTTACCTTTCTTTGCCACCATCTGCACAGACCTGAGCAGGTTAATAAAGGTAACACAAAACATTTGTCCAGTTCTCAAATTACTTGAATGTCTTCTGAGCCAGGATCCCCGTAGGAAAGTGTTTCATGGTCTCTGACCTCTTGCTGCATCCTTGAGGAGGAGGTGCCTTGGAATGCTGTGTCCAACATTTCTGCTTATTCTCCTATCTCAGGAACTCAAGAGACGAAGAAACTAGCTTTTAGATCAGTGTTTAATGCTGAAGTAATAAAAGCGATCACGCCTTGGGAATTTAAAGTGTCCATGTTAATTTTGTAGATATTCAAATATGTCCTTTCCTGTGTGTTCCTGATTGTGTCTCTGTGTGTCATTAGATCCTTCACTGAAGAATCTATCCCAGGAAATCATAGAACTACTGAAAAAGCTGGTCGGGCTCGAGAGTTTCTCATTAGCCTTTGCCTCTGTACAGAAACAGGCTACTGAGAAAAGGGCACTCCGGAAAAAGAGAAAGGCTTTGGAGGTAGGCTTGCTGCTTGAAATTAACCTGTTCATTGGACTTAACTATTTTTAACCAGGCGTGTGTGCATGTGTGTGTCATACTTGCTCAGGGGGGAAAGAGAAATTGGCTGTGTTTGAGAGGTGGGACTTTATAGCTGGGGCTCCAGATTTTGTGATTTTCAAAAATGGTCCATTTCTGCATTTGATTTTTATTGGTTTAACATTTACTTTAAAAGTAATACAAAATTTCTATTCTTTTTTCAAGTTTGTAACTAATCCTGATATTGCTGCCAAGAAAAAGCTGAAGAAACACAAAAACAAAAGTGAAGCAAAGAAGAGAAAGATTGAGTTCCTGCGTCCAGGCTATAAGGCCAAAAGACAAAAGAGCCACAGCCTGAAAGATTTAGCAATGGTGGAGTAAAGTGTTCCCTGTGCTAACAGTGTCCAACTTACCCTAAACGTGAACTTTCTGGTCTACCTGCTGGTCCAAAATCATAGCAGGTTTTATTATTTAAACTTTGGCATAGATTGTATAATATTATACAGTTTAATATAATTCATGTTTGTTTTTAATTAAAATATTTCATAATACTACTGTTATCTTCACTGTCTAAAAAGCATTTGACACTAATGATAAAAGAGTTTTAAAATGTACTTTTCTTTTTAAAAATACACATTAAATTAGCAAGACAACAAGTAGAAGTTAGGAGTAAATCAAGCAGATGATTTGCAGAATTACAAAATTTTATATACAGATACATATACCCATTTGAATACAGAGTTCCAAAGAATAGCAAGGAGACACAAAAAAGCCTTCCTCAGTGATCAGTGCAAAGAAAAAGAGGAAAACAGTACAATGGGAAAGACTAGAGCTCTCTTCAAGAAAATAAGAGATACCAAGGGAGCATTTCATGCAAAGACGGGCTCAATAAAGGACAGAAATAGAATGGACCTAACAGAAGCAGAAGAGACTAAGAGGTAGCAAGAATACACAGAACTATACAAAAAAGATCTTCATGATCCAGATAACTATGATGGTGTGATCATTCACCTAGAGCCAGACATCCT